CATAGAGAAATTTAGGCCTTCGCGTTCAAACGTCTGCATACTTTACTCACTTTTGAAAACAGTCAACTTGTTGCGGCTCGGTGTGCTCAGCACTCCTCGCCCTAGTGCTCGTCCGCCTGACAACACAACTCCTCATCTCCAGGATGTTCCACTTCTGCGCTGGTGTGCGCATCACCAGCGCGTCCGCTCGACGCCTGCACCCCTACCCGTACAAACAAACAATCACAAACGCGACTAGATTGAATCACATTTACTAAAACATAGGAACAAAACATAAAAACCTAAAACTACTAAAAAGACTACTACTACTACTACTACGAGAGAAAGAAATAAGCACGGGACGAGCCGCCTCGTCCCGTGCTGCCGATGCCGAGAAGATCATTTCCAACATGTAGTTCCGGGTCCTCCATTGGGTCAACCGCAAGCCCCTGGCCCATATGGGACGGCGTGACCCCTCTCCACTCCCGCACTCCTTCGCTTCTGCGCGATAAACCACAATACTAAGCGCGCGTCTCCAAACACAAGAAGATTGACAAGGGCTCAACCGCTTAAAACCGTCGATCATCTGCGGGAGCTACTGGAGGCGCTGCCAGCATGGTAATATCATCAAACGATCGATAATGAACGAAACTCGAAGAGGCGTAGACCTCGGCCTGCGCGCCCTTATATATCCTGTGACTTGGCAACGCGCCCAGTAAGGGAGAGGTCTTGGCGCGCCAAGTAACGCGATAGCCAGCGCTCCCGGCCTCCTGTTTCGAGGAGTGGCTTGCATCGCGCGAGCCGCGACACAATTCCTAGTGTTTGGGAGGGGTCATTTTTAGAGAGCTAATTTGCAATCTTGAGAATTTATAAAAAAATTATTTCAATTACTAAATTATTAACAAGTCGTTTGCACATTTTTATAACACATGTAGTAACTTTCAAAAACATGTAACTTCCAAAAATCTTGCGACCTTTCTCGGGAGCCCCTTCCGCGGTGATCTTTAGCCACAGTGCTTTATTAAAAAATTTCGATTTATTTCGTCAACAAAAAAAAAACAGCCGCCAGTCTCTTCTTGTTTGATGTTGACTGATTCTCTAGTAAATCTGTTTAGTGGTATAATAGTCAAAAATGTAACCTTTGATTCCTGGCTTGGCGGCTGGAAGGCGGGGCTTTGTGGCCTAATTAATGCCGCTCGCGCGCGCGAGCAGTCTGCGTCTGTGTCGCGCGCGTGCTCTCTGATCATCATCTAGCTTTAGTTAGGTCACGATGCCACGCCTTCCAGTGGCCAAGCCAGTTGAATTAAAGGGCAATACACAACTTATTAGAGAACAGAATTCGTTGTACAATATATATGAAAAGTAGCATTGAAGATACAAATAGAAAAATAACGTCTATAAAAATGTAGCTAATATTGCAAAATTACGGATTAGGAAGCTTTAGAGTTACCCCTGTGGCGGAGCTATGGCAGCCGAGCTGGATCGTGTAGGGCCGTGCGATGGCCTCAACATCGCGCTAGTAAGAGCGACTCTGGACGTAGTCTGACTTGCATCAAATATATGTCTGCGAATTCACTAAAATTCCTAATTTGCAAAGTCCATAACTTGTGCGTTCATCATTTGTAGGGGTACAAAAACTTTCTGTGTAAATTGAGGCCATGTTCATAAAGTCGCAACGATTTGTGGCTTTTTCCAATAGAAATCTGTTGGAAAGATTTCCACATGTCATTTATGGGGATTAGTCACTTGTAGAAGACTAAGTTGTTACTCTATTGACTAGAAAAAATGTGATGCACTTGATACTTTTCTTGGTTAAATTCATCACACTTTCCATTTGTGCCTCACAAGGAAAGGATGATCGGTCGAAGGCCATTTGGAATGAGCTGTATATTAGGAAACCGACCTCGGTAAGGCAAACTCGAAACTACTTCCCCTTGTTAGTGGCATACCCAGGATTTTCGTTCGGGGGGGGGGGGGTACACACGCACTCCGGAAAAATTGCTATGCTTCCCAAAATTTTTGTGTCCCTGATTCTAAAAAATTTAAAGAAACCCTCCCCCCCCCTCCCCTCAAGGATGCCCGCCTTGTGCGTAGTAAACAATTGAATAAATAAACTGTCTATTCTTATGATCTTAGACTTTTATTCCTTCCTTCCCTCTTTCAATAGCAAGCTGAGGAAGTTGAATTGAGCGTTTAGCTGCTAATACGTGAAAGAAAAAAGAAGAAAAAAATAGAAAAAAATAGAATCAGGGGAAATTATAAACGTCTGTGTTTGAATTGCTACAAATTTTGAATTACTCCAAATACTCTCAGAATGTTACAATAATCTGATTGCCGCTTTACTTACAAAAACTTGGAGTCCTATGACTTATTCCAAATTTAGGAAAAATCCGAATGTTATCGTTGCTGGTTAGTGGTTCAGAGCAAAATGTGTTAAAAATGGGTATATTTTGTGAGCCGATTACGTTCGTGTAAGCGCTTTGATTCTCTCTTGCAATATCTTCTGCAGACGTATAATGTTCTTTGTATCCTTCTGTAATATCATGTGGCCTCTGTTTCATTTTTTTGAATTTTGAACCCTACACGTTCATTTTCTTTCCATTGTTATACAGGCAAAAGGATAATAAAATTTCTAAGTCGGAAAAGGCAAGAGACGTGGGAGCGGAATGCGTTTGCAGAGAGTAATAAACACAAGCTGCGTTTTGAATATTTTTGAGTTTGATCCCCATAGTTTTTGAGTTCTAATGCCTTTTTGTAAGATCGTCGATGTTGGTACCTGCTTTATTTGATGTTAAAAGCTGGAAAGCCACCTTTTTACTACCTGGACGAGGTCATGGGACGAACTGCAGACAGAGTGACCATCAAAAATGACATTTCATCAATCTAACCTCGAGTCGTTCGTAACTTAATATGTGAAATTGCATACTAAGACCTATTAGCGACGGCACCCATACTAGGAATTCCCCAGTAAAACATTTTCTAGCCTAACAAAATGTAGAAATGTGTTCTATGTTGACTGACATGTGTTCTATGCTGACTGAAATGTTGACTGACACAAAACCAACTAAAACAAAAAAAACAGGGAAACAAGGGAAATCACTGGAAATGAGCAGGTTCTAGTTTCGCTATTCGTCAGTTGGCGTTATAGTGTGCATTACGCATACTAAGTTACATGTTATAAGTTATATGTTATATGTTGTTAGTTGTTGTTAGCTATAAGTTCATACATGATGCGAAATTCGCGTCTTTTTTTTAAAAAAATGTGAGCGATATTGTACCTCTCATTGTCATTCATCGAATGATATCGCTCAGAAGTATTTAATCTATAGTTTTCTGCATCAAAAAAACTTGAAGAAAGGCAACACAAGGCAAACTGTAGTCGTTTCATCTTCTTCAGTAGTTCATTTCTATGGATTTTCAACTACATCATCGCCACAGCAGTTTTCGTTTAAAGAGTAACAAAAATTCTGGATACCGTTCAAATTGTTCTATAGTCGACATGTTATAATAATCTTCCTTAAAACATTCGCTTAAAGAAGTTAAACGAGAACGAACTTCTGGAATTTTTCAGTGCGACAAAAATATGTAGTAGACAGCTAAATATGTAGTAGTGAGCTATCAAAGTTTTATCAGAGAATTTTTTTACAATTTTTTTAATTTTTACGTACAAAGTCACTCATGGCATGAAACTTTACATAGTTTTCATGTTACATTGTTGTGAACTCGTCAATCAATTCATGACAGTAAAGTATTCTTAAACTAGATATGTTGATAATCATTACTTTTGCCACTTAAATCGTAGTCTCATTTCAAAAAGTATGTTACGGTAAATCTAAGGATCAATTGTTTGATTCAAAATATCCTTACTTTACGCGCGATTTCCAATGGGCTTATCTCCTACTATCGTTGCTCAAAGGTCAAATCCACTCAAAACCTTAGGCAATAATGTTCAGCTTCTTAAGAATTATATTAGTTTCATTGTACTTTGAATCTGCGTTGCATAGAACAGTTTCATATGTTATACCGATCAAGCTAGCGTCGCATAACGTTCCAAAAACAAACAACAAAAATTTCAACAAAAACTTCCATCTACAATTTTCCGTTTGAAGTACTGTTTGAATCTTCGGACAGCTTTCCTTAAAAAAAACTAAGATTACTTTGTACGACAGGCAAGACAAAAATCAAGAAGAAATTTTTGGTAAGTTAGTAAAATGTTACTGACTGGTTACTAATGTAGTATAGAAGGTGATTATTAATTCAAAAAGCAAATTATTACTTTTCTCAGATAGGTACATAGCAGGTAAGCATCATCAAAACTTTCGATCATTTGTTCAACCTAAGTGCTAATTTAGCGGATTTTCGGATTAGTGAGTTGAGTAAGTGAGTTTTAACTTCGGTCAGTTTACATCAAAATTAGCGCTATCGTGTCATTTCCAAATGCACTCAAAATTAGCACTTAGGTTAAACAAATAGTCGGAAGTCTTGACGATGCTTATTTGCTATGTGTCTATTCGGAAAAGTAATGATTTGCGTCTTTAAACGAATCTATTAGGCTGTCTCATAATTTTTTTCACGTTTTTACCCCAAACTTTAGCATTTCTCGAGAACTGAGGCCCCTACAAAGTATAAAAATACATTATTGTACTTCTGTATGTATGGGCAATATGATCACATGCGTGAGAGGTGCTCAGGACGTCTAGCGGCGGAGTTTGCCATTTTACCTCACTCATTTTTTTCTTAACTTCTAATCATGAAAAAATTCGGAAAGTGTACAATTGCATACGCGATGTATCAAGCATATGCTACAATAAATGGGGAGTTTTTTAAATGATTTGGAGCGCAGATACGATTTTTGACAGAAAAGTTCGTTTTCAACTACAGTAAGCGTTGCGCCGTGGAAGCGGCTATTATACTAGTAGCGAATACAGGATCGAATACTAGGTTTATCGGTAAGGCGGATAGAAGAGTAACAAACAATACAGCGAGGATGAGTTCAATGGTGATCTACAACGTGGGTTGGCGGTGGATACGAGGAGGGTCCGCAGCAGCGGAAGAAGGTGATGAAGTCGGATACGACCGTCCGGCGGCCTGCCAGAGAGGAAGACTCCCCGATGCGGCGAACTGTCTGGCCACGCCCTGAACAGATGAATCATAGCTATGCATATCACATAACAGGATCTCTTACACCTTCCCCATTTTCCTACAAGTCCGTCCTCGGACTGAAATAAAGAGGTGAGAACCAAAAAAAATCATGCGGGGGGTGCATAATGAAACGGAAAGATCCTACCATCATGCAGCTGGCAGTAAGCTGCCCAAATCGGCGGCGGGGACCACGGCTTGTCGTTGTTCCGCCCAGCGGATGATCTGCGCCCATGACGGAATTGCGCGTAGTGAAGGGACGTGCCCCAGGAGGAATAACCCATGCCGCGCTCTGGTCAAGGCGACGTTGAGTCGCTTAGGTCATCGAGGAACTCCGCGGGCATATTGGGATCGATGTCGGTCCTGGTGGTAAGCAGGACAACTATGTCCTTTTCGCGCCCCTGAATCGAATCCACCGTGGCAAGTTCGATGTGGGCATGGCGGGCGTAGGTGTCCATCCGGCGCAACTGTTCCTTATAGAAACAGAGTATGCATAACGACTGAGGCCGGATGCGGCGGGCTAGCAGACGATCGGTGATGCTACGGCACACTTCTGCTTCTGCGTCGTTGAAGTACGACCTGCTGGCCGCACGCTCCGCGTTGCCCTCGACATTGATGAAAAGACAGGGCGTTTGACCATCGGGTACTGCGATGACATCCAAAAGGATCGACCTGTCCTCGGCGCGCGCACCAGTCTGCAACGTTCCTCCATAAATGAGATCATTAGGTAGTCCGTTGAGTAACGGATGAGATCTGAATGTGGTAACCAATGAGGCTACCGGGACCGCGGGTGAGGACATGAGTACGTCCATCGTGCTCTTGGCGCCAAACTTTGCTGGGTTGGAGTTTCGGGGACAGCGGGTATGGGGTTCCAGTTGATGGATATCCCCTATGCACACGTGGCGCGCCTGCGGGAGCCTGTTCATCATGGCAATGAGCACCGGTTCGGGTATCTGTGATGTCTCGTCTGCGATCACGGTGTCGTAGCGCGAAGCGTGCGCTTCGAAGATGCCTCTGGGTCCTGCAGTGTAAAGCAGCGACGATGTGGTGATGCACAAGATGTGCGGGAAGCGCACCTTGAACATGATCTTGATCATGTGCTCGATGGTTTCGGATACTTCCTGCTCGGCCAGGATGTATTCGTCCCGTTGGTCTTCAGAGAGTTCTTGGTTGACCATTCCCTTGTAGCGCTCGAAGCAGAGACGGCCGGTCTTGAATCGTCGGCAAATGTCCTTATCGCGTCTACTGAGTAGAGGGGCGAAATCATCACCCAGGGACTTTAGCCTTCGTTTAAGTCCACACGGAGGGGTACAGGGTCGTCGGAGGCTGCTGTCTCGGAGACGTATCGGAGGAGGTGAAGGCCTTTGGTCGATTCCAAGCCCATGAGCGTTTGAGCGAACTGCGAAACCGCTGCGTTGGTGGAGGCGGTGACGACAATTTTGCGGTTGGAAGAGGATACGAGGCGTGAAGCTATCACTGCTCCAACGAGCGTCTTGCCGGTTCCGAATGCGGCTTGGATTGCCGCAATGGAATAATCAGAGCAACCCAATTTTACTGCGCGGCGTTGATCCTGGGAAAGGGTAACGCGAGCACTTCGAAAGAGTACTGTAGTCTCCTCGTCGGGCAAAGGGTGGACTCTAGTACGATGGTCGGCTTCCGTGATCGGGGGTTCGTGCGCATAGATCCTGGTAACTGCCGTGTTCGCTGGCGTTCCGTCGCGGATGTTCTCGAAAAAATTCATCTTTGCGATGGCTTCGTAGGCGGGCTCAATAGTGGTTGGGATTGGGCCGAGACGTACCGCACCGTCCAGGAGAAGTTCGGTGCCGAGGGGTCTTCCCCATCGTTCAGCGGCGTCCGTTAGGCTTTTGTGGGACCACGGGTGAGCGATGACAGTGATGCGCAGTTGTCGTGCTTCGGTATCAAATGTGACCTGGTGAACCTTGACGATGAAAGTGTGGTGGGACTCCTCGAGCCACAACTCTACAGGGCGACCTCTTTCCCAGCCGCGTTCTGAAATCATGTTGGGAATGGTGAAGTAGATCTGTAGTGGGTATAGCCTGAGAGAAGGGACAACGGGTTCAATCCAGTGGACTTGTCGGTCGTCGGCGTCGGTCTTCACGGCGGCCAGAGCAGAGGCTGCGGCGTTGAACAACTGCAGCATACGGATTCGTGCTTCGCGGGGGTCAAGTCGGTAATTACGGAAAGGGCCTTCGCGGTCCTGAAGCCTGTTAGCCTGTTTGTAAGAGATCCTGTTATGTGATATGCATAGCTATGATTCATCTGTTCAGGGCGTGGCCAGACAGTTCGCCGCATCGGGGAGTCTTCCTCCTGTCGGGTGGACCAAACAAATTTCGCTTTTCCTTTAGTAAACAAAAGAGAATAAGGTTGTAAAAGAAACACGAAAGCCTAGTATCACCTAGTGTTAGCCAATAAATTTCACACACCGGTTTCGGGGCTTAGAAGTATACCGGTAATGTGGCTTTCTTGCTGCCCCTCATCAGTACTTCGCAAGAAAGCGTAAAAGAGATACTAGAACCTAGTATAATCTAATTTGAAGAGGAGTGGAGGAAGAAAGGAGAATGAGGTGAAAACCATACTAACGCTGTGACAATGAATGGCACTTATTCCCTGCTGAGGTCTTATATCTTGTCCTCAATTGTCCTCCCGCCCGAATATAGCGCGTTGGCTTATTGCCAGGTCGCACGTAAGTCATGGAGTAGTGGGAGGTGTACTGCGGTGTAGAACTCGTACTTACGTAAAATATTTGGCCTGTTATACAAGGTATGGAACAAAGCATGTATGAAGTTGCTACTATCCCATCCGTTACGCTTCAATATATGGCTAAGTTCCACTAATCTATCTCTAAAATCTGTATAAGATGTACAGTTCCGATAAATTCGTAATACCTCGGTTGTCAAAGTATTGGTTAGTATATATCGAGGTATGTTTGATAACCAGTGGGGGTATCTAATAACTTTGAAATTGTAATCGTCTGTTTTATTATATAGACTAAATCTGACAAAATTGACTCTAATTTCTATGGTGAGGTCCAAAAAATTTGTTGTCGTTCTTTCTGTATTGGTTTTTTCAATCTTTAGAGACTGGTCATATATGGCTTCCACCATTCTTTCGAAATCTACTGCAAAAGGTGATACGTGTAGGATGTCGTCTATGTACCTATACGTATGGTTAAACATGAATCTTTTCTGGTTATCCAAAGTTCCTATTTGATTTCGCATAAATTCATATTCAAAAAATGCTAAGGTAAGATCTGCCATCTGCGGACTGCACGATGCACCCTGAGGGATACCCCTTATTTGTTGATATATTGTTCCCCCAAAGTACAAAAAGCTTGATGATAATAGTGAATCTATCATATACATAACGTCTTCTATTTGATAAAACTTTCCTTGTGTTACGTTTGTGTTTGCATATGATACTCTGTTACCATTCACTTTGATGTACTTATATCCTTTCATACATAAATGTATGAGATTCTTCAAATTGCGTCTAACGACACTATGTGGAAGACTTGTGAATAGACTGGAGAAATCGGCCGAATACACTTCTAAGTTTCCTTTAGCAGAGGCTAAGTCTCTCACTACCTCACTACTGTTTTCTATAGCCCAAAAATGTTTAATTTTATTCCTATTCTTAATAACTTTACAATAATTAGCAAAATGTTTTCTAATATGAGCTAATATGAGCTGAAGTAATGTAGTAAGTGGCTTAATTGTGCTTCTTTTTGCTCCGGTTATATATCTAAATTTTATGGGATTTTTGTGCATTTTCGGAATTCCATATATTCTAGGTACTTCATTGAACTTTTCATCATATTTAAGTCTCAAGCTGTTTAATAAGTGTTTATGTTTACTTCGTATCTCATTTACTTGAATTGAAGTTGGTATATAGGTAAGACCTTCTACGTTTGTCTGATCCATTTCTTTCTTGATCATTTGGAGGTAGAACCTCTTGCATGTAAAACTGAAATTTGCACTTGCTTTATCTATTGGAGTAATTACGAAGCTTTTTTGTATTCTATTGAGAGCATCTTTATCATATTCATCGCACTCGACTAAGTTATTGTCATATATGTTATAAAGCTTACACTTAGTTTTATTTCTGAAATATTCAGTTAACTTCTTATTTATTGTTTCCTTATTAGCAGTTGAAGTGTGGAATTTGTTTGTATATTTTATTGTTAACTGTTTAGCTAGTTCATCTAACACCTCCTTAACTTCTGCTTTTGTAACTATAGTGTGTCTTCTGTATTTGGTTCCTTTATTCAATACATTTCGTAAGTTATTATCACGTATGAAATCTAAGCTTCCTGTGCAAATGTGTTTATGATATGTGTCTATATATTCCGGATATTTGCTGCAGTCACATGTCTGATTATTTATTGCCTCTTCTGAGACATTATGTATACCTTTGAGGAAGCTGTGGTAATTGTATTTCCAAGGCCAAAGGTTTCTTCAAAGTGTACTGAACTCGTACTCTAATATCTTTCACGTTATCTACGTGTAATTGCTCCGTTAATATGCGTTGGATATGTGAAGTGTTACATAACTTAGATAATTTCAGTCTTTCCATAATAGGACCTTGATATGGTATTATGACCTTGATTTCCTCTCTGTGTACTTCTTCTTTCTCTTTCCTCCCCCAAAAGGTGTTGCTACTAATGAATATATTTTATATTTATGTTCAAAATTTAGTCGTGAAAAATCACTTGTAAAAGTAAAATCTATTAAGCGATTTATGTCTGCCTTTTTCAATGTTCTGAAGTATGTGTACAGAGTGTGGCTAGCTAAGTTACCTATTATTGTTACTATTTCTCCTGTTCTATCATAACATTCCTTCTTCTTCTTTGACCTTCTTTTCTTACCCCTTATTCTTTTTACTGTAATCGGACATATAAAGTATGGGTGTTGTTTCTTCTCTAGTGGGTTGACATTATCTGAAATGTTTCCGAATCCTTTTATCTGGTCATTAAACCCGAAGGGGTACGCTGTTACAATATATTGCATCCACTGCAATTCTTTTTCTCTAAGCTGTTTTTTCACATTATCTTCTTCTTCTCTTACATGGTCTAAAATTTCAATACTAATATTATTTGGGTCATGGCTTGTGTCTCGAAAGTGGTTCACCATGAATGTATTTATGTTAAGTTTTTTAAAACTTCTGCGATGTTGATTAATTCTTGCTCTTACGGTTTGTGTTGTTTCTCCTACATATTGTAGTTTACAAGTAAGGCAAGTTACCATGTAAATTACATTTCTTGCGTCACAATTTGAGATATTAGGTTTATTGGTTCTGAAGCAGTAGCGTGTTGTGGAACTTTGAGTTTATGACTTGAATATCATTTTGTCACAAACTTCGCAGTTTCTTCTACTGCACCTCGTTCCTGTTGTAACAGAGGAAACAGGGTTATTAACTAGCCTCAACCGGTTTTCGCTGTTGTTGTTATCACTCAAGGACAACATAGAACATTGATTTATTCTTGTTAAATTGTTTTGGTTAAGGGACCTCAAATCCATTGAGTCGGAGGCGGTCCTTCCTGGACTCTTATGCAGTTTCCTTATGGAGATTATTTTCCCCTAGGTTAGGGCGAACCTCTTCATCGCCGGGGAGCGTTACCCGTGGTGCAAACTGCATTGGATAGTTTATGCCCAACACCACGCCAGGGTTCTCCCGAACTTTTAAACTGTTTTCCAAAAATTTTTGTGTATTAGCACAGCGATTATTTGATAGCTAATTAGAAAAGTCCTCTTTGTGAATCTGTAGGTATATGTCTTTGTATGTATCATGTATATATGTGCGTATGTGTGGATAATGTTCATATATGTACATGTGTTCATCTATGTATGTATATGTATAGCTCGTACAATGGTGCCGCGATTTCGGCAAAATTTTGTATGAACTTTCTAAAGAAATTGGCCATTCCGATAAAGCGCTTAACGTCCTTGGCGCAAGTTGGGGTCTGAAGGTTTTTGATGGCTAACAGGTTTCGATCGGAAGGGTAGTAGCTGTTACCGGAGATCTCATGACCCAAAAAAGTTACCTTGGAGCGCGCGATGTCAACTAGCTTCTTACCGGAGACTTTGATGTTGAAGTCTCGAAATCGGGAGAAGACCTTGCGCAACGAATGTAGATGGCTGGGGAAGTCTTTGTCGAAAACCACGATGTCGTCAATGTAGGCAAGGCAGTTTGCCTCTAGCCCCGAAAGAATACGTGACATTGCGCGGCAGAAATAAGCGCCCGCGTTTTTAAGGCCAAAAGGGAGATACACGAATTGATAGACGCCTCGGTGCGTAACCCAGCCGCACTTGGCTTGGCTCTCCGGGGAAAGCAAAAGTTGCATATAGCCCGAGGCCAGATCTAGGGATGTATAAAACTTGTTCCCTACGATCTTTTCGAGGATGTCATCAATTCGCGGAAGTGGATAATGGTCAGGTATGGTAATTTCGTTGAGGGGGCGAAAGTCAAGGCAAACTCGTAGCGACCCGTCTCGCTTCCGGACGAGAACGGTATTGTGAACCCACGGGGTGTCGCTCTCCGTTATTCTACCGGCTTGGAGGAGCTTGTTTATGTGATCGTCCAATTCCTTCCGGAACTTGACCGGAATGCGGGTGGGTCGAAACTTAGAGGGGGGAACCTCTGTGGTAGTTTTAATGTGGATGACATCATGGTCATAGGACCCAAGGTCGTACGAGCTATGCGAGATACGATCGCGAAATTCAAAGAAGAATGCCTGAAGCTGTTCTTTTTCAATCGCCGAGACCTCAGCTTTACTGAGATCTACAACCGGCTGACAAGTGTCTACGGATGAAGGGCGACAGTCAGCCGCCTTTTTTGGTTGTAACGCCAACAAGGTGGTGCTAAAAACTGGGCGGTTCATAGAGAGCGCCGTTCTCGTCGCGCAGAGAGACGGCGGTTGCTAACTTTTGATCTTTATATAATACGAAAGCAGTATTGGAAGGATTAGCGACCAGAACGCGAGTCGTACCTGATGAAAAGACGGTTGGCGTGACGAATAACGAATTGTGGAGTAGTTCCTGTGATTGGTTGACGAGCATTACTGGAGTTGACGGTGGTGTGGATGTATAGCAGGGCACATACGTTTCCGAGCAAGGCCGTAGCGGTGTCGTTTCTGAAACACGAACAACCATCTCGCCGTCTTCCGGGGTAGCGCTAGGAAAGGTAGTCAGGATACGAATTGGTTCACCGTTTACCGAGAAAAGGCGTCTTGCGTAATCAATGGACCATGACGGGAGCTGTGACAGAAGATTATTGCCCATGATTAGGTTAAACGCGTCGGCTGCGCGGGGAATGCACGAGCCATTTGTGAAATGAACAGTAGCAATTATGGTGGTAGTGCCTACTTGAAGTTCTAGCTGCGCGCTACCTAAAAGGGTGATTGGTACGCCAGCCATTCCTACTGCTGAATCAACCGAGCCTTTATCGAAGTGAAAAATGCCTAGCAAAGTTGCTAGTTCTCGTCCGGCCACCGAAATTGCAGCCCCGGTATCGACTAATCCTAGGAGGGCGATACCGTTTGCCCGAACCGGGATTTGGGCGACAAAGAATCCAGTATTATTATAGAGAGATAACACCTGGACTGGGGCGATGGAGAGTTTAGGCGGCCATACACGCGTAGATGCGATGTCGAAGCGAGCTAATTCGATAGACTGATCGTTGACTCCTGTTGCGGATGGGGTGCAGAGTGAAGACGCTGGTGGGTCCTGCGGCATGGAGTGCGGCAGAACTACCGCGGGAGGCTGGCGACGTGACGAGGTAGATAAAGAAAGGCGGGATGCGAGATTGGGGTATGAAATAGTTATGTAGAGCATTAGTAGTGTTTTGAAGATAGTCAGCGTAACTACTATACAGCATGCGGAAACCCAGAGATTGTACGGAGATATACCAAGCAGGTTGAAAAGAGAAAATCGGTCGGCAAAAGATTGCGTGCTGTAGGAACTGCGTATGTTGGTAGCATCGTGTCCTGCGGCTGAAAGAATTTTGTCGAGATTCATAGAAGCCCAAAGTTCATGCAATTGGTGTTCTTGCACTACTTCGCTTAGGTTAGTGAGGACTAGGTTGTGGAAAATGGTAAGCGTGGGGGGAGCGAAGGGTTCTCGAAAAGCCGTAAATAGGGATATATTGCGGATGGCTAGGGTGGGGACCTGCGAGAGCTTGGCCGTGGTGGCCTCGTACCGGAATACTCCATCTGTAGTCCAAAGGAGGAATGGTTGAAGTCGGGAACACGCCACCGGTGTGGCGTCGGGGGTGACGAGCCAGTTGTGAGGGTCCACAAAGGTCTGCCATGAAGAACCACTAGGTAAGGTCAGGTGGATGTACGGTTTGTCGTAGCATGTGTCATTGAAAGGAATGATGCGGTAGTTGGAATCTGGGATACGTATGCAATTGTGTAATTGGACAAGGCCATTCCCTAAGTATGTAGCTGCGATGTCTTCTCGAGCGAGTAGCTTACGTACCGTGTATGTAGGATCCGATTTAAGTGACGAATGCAGGGAAAAGGCCAGCATATTAGTGCGTTCACATAGCGAGGCCAGAGCGTGGTAAAACAGTGCCGTTGTGGAAACCTGGACGGCATCTTCCACAGCCAGCAGCTGGGCAGCCAGCTGATTGGAAGTTACTACGCCAACCTGGGGAGGGGCAGAGCGTAATACCCTTCGAACCGGGGCGATTGCATAGCCCTGGTCCGTGATCGTCAGGGTACGCCCGCAGTCAGTTGTGGTGGGGCTACTATTGCGCCAAGACAGAGCAAATTCCTTGGAGTCGCTTATCCAGATATTGCCTAAAAGATGGCCGCGCATCTTAGAAACTGGAATATAGGCACAAAGTTCTTCTGGTGAGGGAGTCCAAAGTAACACCGACCCTTCCTTAAGGGTGCAAAATCCATCCTTGTAGGCGCAATGTGAGGCATCGCCTACCGCAGTATCGGGGACCTCGGAACCATGACGCGCATGAACGAAAGTCGGGGTGACAAAACAGTTAGTGACAATCAAATGATAATCGGTGCAGCAACCAAAGGGTGCAGAGGGGAACTGAAAAGATAGAGTGTTAGTCGTCTTATACGAACCCTCCACTTCTTGCATCACTCCATGCTCGCATTTGTGATACTGACGCATTTGACGACAATGTTCTACCGAAACTGTCTTATAGGTTTCGGTAAAAGATTGGTGTCGCGCTCCGAAAAAGTTAACACCATACGTCACCGACTGTTCTACTATTCTGCACAACACGGCGGGGGTGTCATAGCGCTTAGAGTTCGGGCGATAAAGGTGAATGGAAGCGATGACAGGACTGCCCGTTAAATTTGGTAAGAGATAGGAGCAGTTATGAGTAGATGGTATGTAACTTAAAGGATCAGTAGATTCTCGAGGGCACAACCAAACTGGCCGTGAAGACTGGGCGACGGAAAGGCAAGATGCGAGTGCGCCCGCGATAAAAAGGCAATTGATACGCGGTGTGGAAAGTGAGGAAGAAGGAGAGACGTCACCAAAAGCTTTGCGGGCCAGCTCATCGTTTCGTTGGACTAAAGCCGAAACTCTTGCGTTGGAATTTTCGAGAGCTGCCTGACTTTGTTTGAGAGAGAGAGAGACTCTTACTGTTTACGTGCGTCTTCTAGTTCGACGTTAGGATAAGAAGAAATGCTCATCAAATTGGGTTTGAAACTGCGATCAATAGGAGAAGAAAAACGGGAGCGCTTGTAAAGACGAGGTGAACGAGAACGTTGGCGAAAAGTAAACCGACTTGTTTGTTGCAGCTGTCGTCGACGTGTGGGGCATTCCTGCGCAAAATGTCCTCGGCCATCACATATGTAGCATAAAATCTGCGAGGGAGGCGGCGATGAAGATCTGCGTGCCGGAGGCTCCTGAAAACGTACGCGCCGTTGACTGTTGCGACGAGAAGTAAAGGTGGAGTAATTACGCTTACGGTTAACCTTCGGGGAACGAGGAGGCGACGAGGAGCGTTCACGATATTCCTGGCGTGGCCTGGAAGGTATGTCAGAAGCTGGAATAGAACTTACAGCTACTGGAGCGGACGCGTGAGAAGGGTGGATGAGGCGATCCGCAGCAGCTTCGGCGAGGAGGTTTTCGATACGTTCAGCCTCGGCGAGAGCCTCTTCGAAAGTCGCCGGATTAGCAAACCTGACATGGAAACGCAAGTCGGGGAGTAAGCGTGGAAGAAACTCATGGAGGAAAAGATCATCTTGAAGATTGGGATCCTTACCTGTGGCGGCGCGAAGCAGGTTCAACAGCCTGAACGCAAACGCCGAGCAAGACTCACCTGGCTCCTGCTTGCAGGAAGAGAGCGCTTGTCTCGCGTCGGCCATCTGCTTCGGTCCTTCGTAATGTCCGCGGAGGTGCTTGACAATAGCGTCGTAGTCGATCTTCGCTTCTGAAGTGAGCGTCTCAATGCGTTCGCGTGCCACTGATTCTAAATGAGCGATAAGGTAATTAGCCTTGTCCTGAGATGTTACTATCTTACGCAATCGCATTTCGTCTTCAAGGCGACGCAGTCACAATGCAAATGTTTGTGACGGCGAAACGCCGCTGAATGGGAGAATACGGGTAGGGAGCCCATCAGGGCAAAATGTTGCAACTAACGGAAGCTGCTCAATACGCAAGCCGACGGCTGCGAAAGACTCATTAATTCCTTGAAGCAAGTGAGAGTTACCTTGGTTTACCTGTTCGGCAAGCAAGGAAGTTGAGCGTTTCGCGTCACGCCAAGCATTCAGCAAGGCTTCCGTTGCGGCGTTCTTCAGCTCCTTGGCGTCGCGGCCATGTACCGTCGCAGAATCCTCTAAACCGGACAGCGCGGTGGACAGCGGCGCCACCACGGTTTCCGAAGAGACGGGCGAGTTGTTATCCGCCTGACTGGATTGCTCCAGGTGCGCTTGGGATCGAGTCACAGGACTCATAAGTCACTGGAATAAGTGTGATTTTGAAGCAAAATAATGCCGGAGGCAAATGCTTAGCGAGCAACGGCCGATAAGTTTACAATGAACAGCAAGGCAATAGAAGGGAACTAAGGAGTGCTTGTTGTATGCTGGGACTAGTATCTTATATAGGATAAGCGAAGCTTATACATGCCTCGAATCGTTCTCACAACAAAGGCTCCGACCCCCTATCGCAGCGAAAGAAAAGTGCGTGGAATTTGCTAACTGCCCCGCATATCAGCGATATTATCTAGGTTCCCATCAACCGAGCATGAGAAAAGATTTATAATATTGTTTTGTTTCAAATGTTTTCTCAGCGGCCATGAGATCGAAATGCGCGATAACGCCGGCTTGCGAAAATTCCAACGTGCATAGCTTACGGCTGCGCGGCTGTAAAATGACTTACTGAGGAAAAGACTTATGTGATAGAAGAAATCTACAGCCGAACACCTGCGACATTCCCCCCGATTTAGCAAGAAATTTGTCTTAAGGCAAGAAAGCATCGCCAAAAGTGGTGCCAAAAATGTGATCACGATCGCGGCTACTAATTCGCAGCTATAGCATGCACAATCCGCAAAAAGACTTAAAAACTTCCTTCGCGAAGGAAGTTAACAGCTGAACAGCTGCGACAGTTCCGAGGCGCCGTGCAAAAGGGAAATGCGAAACGAGCAAAATATGTGCTAGATTTTACTTGAGCACTACGATTAACGTACAGCTATACATGTATACATATACATGTAGAAAGAGAATACGGGTGGGGACGCGAACACGCTTATCAAGAACTCAGTGATAAAAAGTTAGGTCGGAAAATTGGGAAGTACTTTTCACTATTCTAAGGCTCACAATACGAACTAATAAAAACGTACCTGGCGCTGGAGGAGACGGATAAACAGAGAACTATATGCCGGATAAATAAATATACCATAAGCGCCAAAAGCATGAGTCGAAATTAGTCGGTTGCAAACAGTTCTGCTTAGTGCCATCCAGCGTGCACATCTGGCGGCCCGACGGCCAATGGTACCCATACAAAGCTGAAAGCAATCGATCGTTAGTATGTTGCGCAACAAAACTAAGGAGCTCAAGTTAAACTATGCGCGCTTGCAAAATAGGGCTACCCAGCATAAAACTGCTGGAACTACGTGCGGACAAAACACATCATTTCACTTACCTGCCCAGCTGCGCGTCACTGCGCTACACTTACTTCATTGGGCGAACGCCGGAACCCCAAACATCTGAAAATCGCTTTACTGAACAATACAAAAGGTCCGCACCTCAACTATCCCTGCAGGGGAATGCACTTTTCATCACTCACTTCACTGCCGGCTCTGCTGGGCTCAATATCACTTCCGAAGCTAAACTACTGATGGCGTTCTATCACTATCTATCCACTATGAAAATGTACGAAAAAGGAAAAACGTATTCGAAACAGTACTAATAAAAGGCTCGCGAAACCTGGCCAGAGTCTCGCGAAAAAGCAAAGACAGAAACCAAACGAATGTCCTTTTTCGAAAGTACTGTTTTTTTGTTTTTTTTTGTTCTTTTTTTTGGTCTTGCGACATAGAGCGATATCGCCCGCTCTGGCTCACGGCCCAATAGGGTCGGACTAAAACCTACGAGTCTTCCCGGTAAACGCAAAAAACATTGGAAACGAATTTCCGGAAACATGAGACTACTGGCAGGGGGACCATCAGGTCCGAATGAAAGAGACTCACCTTCTCCCAGGGGCGGAAACTCGCTGCTACCAGTAAGCGTTGCGCCGTGGAAGCGGCTATTATACTAGTAGCGAATACAGGATCGAATACTAGGTTTATCGGTAAGGCGGATAGAAGAGTAACAAACAATACAGCGAGGATGAGTTCAATGGTGATCTACAACGTGGGTTGGCGGTGGATACGAGGAGGGTCCGCAGCAGCGGAAGAAGGTGATGAAGTCGGATACGACCGTCCGGCGGCCTGCCAGAGAGGAAGACTCCCCGATGCGGCGAACTGTCTGGCCACGCCCTGAACAGATGAATCATAGCTATGCATATCACATAACAGGATCTCTTACACTACTATCAAATTTCAGCTCAAAACTTCACGTGGGATATGAGTTGGGCAGACTATTGATGGCCATGTTGTAGAGCTTGCTTTGCCTTGTCGAATGATTACTTAAGGCACATCGGATGAAGGAAAGATGCAAAAATACGGCGCTTGTAGTATGGTAAGAAATTATGAGACACCCTAATACCTTCTCATTTAGTAAGCTACATTGACAACCAGTTAGTACCATTTGACTAACTTACAAAAAAGTTTTTGATTTTTGACTTGATTGTCGTATGAAGTAATCTTGGTCTTTTTTTTTTTGAACGAAAGCTGCCCGAAGATTCAAACAGTACCTCACACGAAAAATTGTAGATGGGCTTCAAAGTAAGCTACATTGACAACCAGTTAGTACCATTTGACTAACTTACAAAAAAGTTTTTGATTTTTGACTTGATTGTCGTATGAAGTAATCTTGGTCTTTTTTTTTTGAACGAAAGCTGCCCGAAGATTCAAACAGTACCTCACACGAAAAATTGTAGATGGGCTTCAAAACTGCATATTTTTATGAATCGCGTGCAGCGTTCTGCAAGTGAAAGGAGGAGAGAGAAGGAGCCAATCCAAAAAAAAAGGTGACGACTTGCTAAGTAATTCAGACTCTAGTCTGCGTATAAATTACAATTATCTCTCATTATTTTAGTTGAAATTTTGGGTGCTGCTCAATATGACAGACCACAACGTAGTACATGATATTGTAACTTTATTAGCATTTGCATTTGCTGGGTGGCCTTCTTAAAGGCAATGAATTATCACAACTGCAAATTTTACAGTCTTACCCTGCTTTGAGCTGAAGAAACTTCCAACTTTGCGATTTTATGCTGTAACTCTTAATATAATAATTCTCATTAAAGTTTAGTGGACAGTTGCGCAGAGGGGTAGATAATAGGATGGGTTAAAAAATTTTGTAAACTGGTGTTATGTGGGTCATAAAATAATGCAAATCACTCTGTTTTTTTTCAACCAGTAAAATAACTCTATGCACAATTTCCATGAGAAATAATTCGATTTATAAAATTTTGGGGCTTTCAAGAATACGAGCTGCAAAATATTGAGGGAACTCTTGAAAAAATTCCAGAGGGCATCAAAGACCATATCATCTGGGAATCTTCTTTTTGACCCGTTCTTCTCCCCCCCCCCCCCCTTCTCCCCTCCTTCCAGCTTCGTTTTCAAAAAGAAGTTTATGCTACCTCCACTGCTTGCTTGACATTCCATCTTTTCTTTCTCACTTGCAGTAAGACATGCCGGATGTGATTTTTTTCTGTAGCTAATGTGGCTTTCTTTCTCCTCCGGAGTCACATTCCACTTTTCATAAACTGAGTCATATGTTCTAATCTCAGCAGCGTAAAGATTGTTTTGATTCAGAATAGCGTAGGAAGTAGAAAATTTTTATTTTTTTTACCCACTCAAGCAATGGGGGATTTGAAAAAGTGTCATAAGTGCCATAAGTTATATGTAATTGATATATGCATTGTCATAAGGCTGATCAACTTTTTCCCTCCAGAGTATCACATTAATCTCTAACTGAGGTGTTGATTCGACTATTGAATCAACGATTTGTTTTGTCTTAGACACCCTGCCTATCTTGCTTGTGTTTGGAGTCGACTAGCTGTACTGTAGAGTAATGATGCTAATTTTTTGATCTATACGGCTTCATTAATGGAATGTCCATGTTTCCTTTCTCGCAATTATTATAATTTCTTGTTACATGTAACTTAGATACACAAACACAACGAGAATTTATTGTCACTCAAGACCAAGGGGGATTATTCGGCTTTGGAATTAGCATTAGCCTTCCTCAGACTGTCTCTGTATTCAATCAATTTCTCCAAGCGGCACTTCAAAGCGCAATGCTCATACGCATATGAGCGGATGAAATGCTTCGGCTGAATCCTATATCTGTTAATGTAACTGGTCATGCAGTTGTGGTAGGATTTGCACTGTAAAGAGAAGTCATAGAAGCAAACACACAATGTTGAAGTAATTAGCTTACTCCTGTAATCGGTCTCCCATACTCTGCTGGCTTGGTTGGTACTCCGGGGAAAATGGTCCTTCTCTCTTCAAACTCTTCTCGTCAGAAGAATTGCTCTCGCTGGAAGAACTGCTGTCGCTGGAGGAAGAGCTTTCGGCAGAAGAGATGCTTTCGCTAGAGTTTATCTTAATAGGGAGATAATTCGAAGCAAATGGCTTGAATCCAAAGCCAGGGGCACCTTCCTGACCGTAAACAGTCGCCAGAAGTACTACAACTAGGAGCAGCTTGTCAAAGAACATATTGTCCACGAGTCAACCTGCAATTTATGATTATAATGCATAGTGACAGGATTCTTACGAAACATAAATTAGAAGTTTTTCACTTTTCGACTAATCGCACAAAAGAGAGATCATCCAATTTTACAAAACTGCTGGATAAGTTAGTTCTTTCATCATGTAGCAGTAATAAATCAATCATAGGGTTTCAAATTGTGACTCTAACTATTTTTTCATGGAAAGGGTTTCTTTCGTCACAAATAGCAAACCGGAGAGACGCAAAAAACGTGCAGAAGCTTTTTAGTTGTTGAGAGAAGCCATATTTAAATTAAAATGGTTAAGTTTGCGCAGTGATAATGTTTTGTTATTTTTTCAAGTCAAACTGTGTACTTGTACTGGAAGAATGAAACGAAAAGAATGTTGTATTTCTTACAAGATTAGATTAGGAAACAAGAAAAGTGAATGCCTACAATCTTCAATCCCACATATTTATATGCTTCGCATATATGCACAGATTTATGCACTCCACCACCTGTCCACTTCAAATGTGATCTATATAGTCACTGATACGTACTGGATAAAGATCGATTTGCTTGTTTGATTGTAATAGGCGAATATATTGTGTAACCATACTGTTATTTACGTAGTTACGTAGGTACGTAGTTTTTGACGCCCTTGAAAGAGTAGGTCATTCCCGTATATTTATTCAACACTACCTCGGATGTCTAATTGGCCTGGTCCCTCTCAACATAACATGGTAGACCCTCCATCGATCATATTGATAAAATCGATATCGACTGATGTCAAAGCAGCTTAGACATTTGCCTCGCCCCGAAGTATATCCATGCATGGTCCAAAATTTGAAGAAGGAGTTTTCAATTTTGAAATATATCTGAAGACAGATATACAGATCCGCAGACCTACAGAGATACCCTATGTCTCATTTAGAATGGATTTGACTCTGACGAACCGGGCCCCGCAAGTCCGCTTCGGTTGGGGTTGCACTGCATCCGCGAACGTGTTGTCTGACCATTTACCATCTATTCATGCTTAATCAGCGATTGAAGCTCGACTCTGAGCCTTTGTCACGCCCAGCCTTAGAAAAAGATTGAACGACACGTTCGCGGACGCGGTGCAACCCCGAGCGAAGCGGCCGTGCGGAGCCTGAGTCGTTGGAGTCGGATGCATTCCAAATGAGACACAGGGTATCTCTGTAGGTCTAGTCTACGGGTCTGTATAGGCTTCTGCATGATGAAGGCGCAATATCTTTGGGCGCGAACGCGGCTCTATCAGCCGCAGAGCGCAGGATTTACAACGCTGAGGAACGCGCGCGTCGCGTTCGCGCCAGCTCAACTAATACAGCTTCTGGTCTTCGTCATGCAGTGGCCTTTATGTCTGTCTTTACATATGTCTCAAAAGTGTAAACTCCTTCCTCAAATTCCGGATTATGCACGCATACACTTCGGGGTGGGGCGAATGTTTAGGTTGCTTTGACATCGATCGACATCGATTTCATCAATATCGATCGATGGAGGGTCTACCATGTTACGTTGTCAGGAACCAAGCCAATTAGACATCCCAGGTAGTATTTAATAAACATACGGGAAAGGCATCAAAAATGTCAATAACTGTATAGTTACACGATATTTTCGCTCAATACAGTCAAACAAGCAAACGTTCTCATACTGTATATACATTTATACAGTATATACAGGGTGTCCCAAAAAAATGTATCGAACGTTTGATCGTTAATATCTCTCTTCTAAAAAAGTCTTTTCCCTTGCTTTAGGTACCATTTTGTAGAGATGGCTTCAGCTTAGATTTTCAGTATAGAACGAATCACTCATCTCTCTTCATTACTGTAGGATTACGGTAGAAACTTCGAAGAGGGTTTTAAGCAACGAAAGGCCAAATTTTGCCCCAGAAAAGAAACAAAACAGCTTGAAACCTTTTACACTAGGCTAATTTGAGTTGCTGATTATAACTGTAAAGTTCCCAACTTATTATGATGCTTCATTGAAGAGTTATGCCAGGTAAGAGGTAGCGGCCATTTTTCAATGTTCCTAAAAAGTGCGGTTACACCATTTAGAAAGCTTCGTAATCTTGCGAATAGTTGAGTATTGAACTCAGCGTCCATAAAAACCCCAATACACAAGTTTTCACATTTATTTGAAAAATTTTGAAACGGCAGCTTTTTTCACATTGATCCCACATGTTTCAAGTTTCTACCGTAATCCTACAGTAATGAAGAGAGATGGGTGATTCGTTCTATAATGCAAATCTAAGTTGAAGCCAGCTCTACAAAATGGTACCTAAAGCAAAACAAAAGACTTTTAGGGGAGAGAGATATTAACGATCAAACGTTCGATACATTTTTTTGGGACACCCTGTATATATATCACTGACTATATACATCACGTTTAAAGGCAATGTCCAGGCTAAACCTAACCCCTTCCGATTAGTGTCGGTCCTGAATGTAGGCCCCAGAAAAGGGGCATCTGCGTTGGTCCGGTCTTCCAACGTTGTCTCTAAATGGAGATAAGGGGCCTGAAAATCCCTGGCTGGGCGGAGTCTGATATCAGACTCCGCCCACCAGGGACTGCTCGCTACCTTGTCAATACGTGCCTCCCGACACGTATTGACAAGGTAGTGAGCAGAAGCTGCACACTGCACACTGCAATGCAACTGCACCCATGCAGTTGCAGCTCCTTCCCGCTGGCCTGCCGACGGGAACGAGCAATTCGAAACTCGTCCGCGCCCTCAAGACTTGGTTCCCAAGAAACGGGTTTTTTGTGAATTTTAGAGAGTTTGAAGTTTGGAACTTAATCAGGGCCACGGAAAGGCCCCAGAATGACGAAAACATGAAGGGTTAAATTCTGGGTGGACGCTGCCTTTAAAGGAAAGGAACCGTTGACACAATGATATTAAAAAGCTCATTCTTCCTATTTTTCTTATATAGGCTTTATTTTTCAAAAAGCGAGTGGGAAAGTCTCACTCCTTCCTTTATTTTCGTGAAACGACTCTTAATGGATAGAATTCTTGACATAAGTAACGTTGGCTGGGAATTTATGCTATGGAAAAATTTTGAATGTAGAAATTTTCAAAGCATTTGGACTAGAAGACAAAAAAATTTCTTACAAGTGAGAGTGAAAGGAAGTGAAAAAAAGTTTTATGTTATATCGAGAGCAAGTTCAGTGATTTCCGAATCCAAAAATTACTTACAAAAAAATTTGCGACATCGACCATTGACCACACAATAAGCAAGTTTCGTGAAAAAAAAGATTATCAATGCATTTACCTTCGCTATTTCGAGTGATGAAGGAGCATCTTGGTTCGATAAAGTAATCCAAAGATCTATTGATCTAAAGAATAATCGAGATGTTTTGCAAAAGTTTTTTTGTTGGTTTGTTTTTCTCATTCTACGGTGAGCGACAAAAGATACTATGTCACGCCGCCGGAAGCGACCCTCGGGAAAAAAACGCCAAAGAAGATCGTTACCTCTGAAACGTAGCGGACCAGCAGTCTAAAAAATAGGATTATACGATTTGAGAACGAAGCGCACGCTTCACTACTTCTCTTTCGGAAAAAAATGGGCCCGGATGACAGAAAAGATAGCAGCAACCGTCTGAGGTACTGTGACTAATTACCAAATTGTCGCTACGGCAGGGCCCGGCACCGATGGTTTGGGGTCAAACTGGACTTCGTTTATGGAGTTAGAAGCAACGGGGGCATCGTTTTTATGAGGTCCTGGAGGAAGCGCCAAAAAAAAACACGACGAACATGTCAGGCTTCACGAGTTGAACGTGTTCTTTCGCAAGCGCGCGAATTTCAAATGCAAGATTCAAACAAACAAATGGCTTGTTTACAGCGCACAAACAATCACATGGCTCCGAATTTGGGCTATGAGTATACAATATTACTCCAAACTATGTTATGTAAAAAGTTCACAAAACTTATGTGTCCTAATATCCTTCTCGAATTTGTTGGTTTCTAGACCAACTACCAAACCAACTGGGTTGGTTCGGAGCATAAATATCGGAGAGTTCACATAAGTTTTGGACCTTTTTGATTTGGACGATTAGAACGGTCAAGAATCTATCATACAGTGAAGAGAGCGGATCAAACCATTGCCTCTTCCCTTTTTTGAGTCAAAAGTAGTATAATTCTACGCGTTGATAGATATCGCGCTCCAATCACTTGCGGTGTCCTTTTAAATATGTGGCGAAAAATGCATCGCAGGATTGTTGAGGCTACAGATTTGGCTGGCCTAGGAGATTCTCGACATTCCCAGCATCAAAATGGTACTATACCCAATGGCAGAGCCTTCAATCGACTCGAAATGTTTTCTTTTTGCTTTTTGTTATATTACATACCTCAAAATGCGCTTTTTTCGCTTTTTTGTTGCTAGTTTGGTTGAATAAGGGTTTCCCTACTGATTTTTACGTCGAGAGGGACTTCGTAAATTTTCGCGAAGTCAAGGGGGACTTCTTTTCTAAAAACCTCCAAACCAACGCGTGCCGGGCCCCGCGGTTGAAAGAATTAGCTTACCCAGCATTCTCGTAAAATTCCATGAATATCCATCATTGCTACTATTACTCAAGGAGTCAAAATTTCTCTGATGCGATGTTCTGCAATTCTTAACAGTATGTTAATTATGATCACAAAGAATTGCAGGGCCACCCCTAGACAACATGTTCTTTGACAAGTTGTTGTTTGTTGTACTTCTGGCGTCTGTATACGGTCAGGAAGCTGAAGATGGTGGTTGCTGGTGGTTTTGAATTGGAGCCATTGCAACCGGCTTAGCGGCAAAATCTTTCTAGCAAAGGTATTTCTTCGATCGGTAGCAGTTCTTCCAGCGATAGCAGTTCCTCCAGCGATAGCGGTTCTTCTAGCGATAGCGGTTCTTCTAGCGTGACCTCACCTGGCGAAGAGCCTGAAGTACCTGCACCACCGGCTTCTTCATTGATCGCTGTTCTCTCAACTGGTGACAAATTTACTTCAGTGTTGTATATTAGCTGCTATGA